ATGGAACCATGAATTCTGCTTTGTTCTAGAAAATCCTGAAGGAGAATGTCCGTTTGTCACTTTGTTGCATAAAGTTCAAGTGCATTTGTATTATGTAGCACGACAATGATCTGAAACGCATCAACAAGTCCATCTCTGACTGGAGTGACCTAGTCAAAGTCTTAGCTTTCTCAACTGAAATTGGCCATTCATGCCTGAAAACCCTCGAATGTGGTTGAATCAAAACAATTTTGCAAAGAACAGTGGGACACAATTTCTCCACAATGATGTGAAAGACTCAATCCCAGTTATTCTAGTTGCTTGACTGCATGCAGTTCTTGGTGCTAATTGCCCCAACCAATTATTTTGTTTAGGAGCAATTACCTTTTCACACAGGGCCAGACAGGTTTGGATAACATATTTCACTTAATAAATGAAAAACAACATACAAGACAAAAAAAAATAAATACAGGATATTGTATTTACTCAGATTATCTTTGTCGAACATTAAATCAACATTGATGATCTGAAACATGGAATTGTGACATGTGTGCAAAAAATATGGAATCAAGAAGGAGGCACTGTAGGTGACACTTCGTAATTGCAATTGTTCCTGTGTGCCAACATGTACACATTTTCTACATTACTGTTATATTGCAGGCTCCATGACAACAATAGGAACTGTCGTCCTTCTGGTGGAGAATCACATGAGTCCAGTCAGCATTTTATTAAAAACAAAGACTGTGCAAAACGAAGAGGTTTGGAGGGTTCCAGGTAATATGTTTTGAGAAACTGCCCGTTAAATTCTTAAAGTGTAAAAGTGGTGAGCTTGGAGAACCAAACATCCACAAAGGCATTAACACTGTGACAATAAAGATCGAGAACACAAATAAAAATCCAGCAGTCGATATTCTGCAAAATGGATTCTGGGTAAAAATATCTCTAATATTGACAGTTACCCAAATTTCAATTTGTTATTGCTATTATCAATACAAGTCTTAACTCAGGTTTACAACTGCCATACAGCAATTTTCATTTACTTTTTATTTTTTACAGGGACGTGCTGATCTGCTGCCCTAAGAGATTGTGTAGACTTTGTTTGTTTTGTCATTTTTCCAGTTTCACTTTGATAAGGAGTCAGTCGTAGGATTGCACAGTAGGTTTAACTGGTTCATTGCTGTTTTGTTTATTTTAGCTGGTTACTGCCCTGAAGCCACACTAGTTTGTATATAAAGTAAATGGAGTGTATTTAGGGCTGTGATTATATATCTCAGTATTGTTTACCATCTTAAAATTTACAACAGTTAAACCATGGCAACAACTTAACAATAGTAGGTGAGATGTGAAGGTAGATTCACCTTAGAACAATAAACACACACACTCACACAGACACACGGACCAAATTTACACAGAAATGCTAATAGCAGGTGATCTAGGAGGAGGACAGGGTGAAAGTGCTTCTAGCCTTGTATGACCCTTCGGTTCAGTGGACTCAAACATGTGAGGGCTGGGTGGGTCGGTGAGAGTTTGAAGCCACTTAAAATATTTTATATGTTCTTCACACAAAATGGGCCAAAGGCAAGGAATCTCAGGTTGAAATAATAATCTTCTTTTTTGACTGTACCCTTAAGGGTCGCCACTATGGATCATCTGCCTCCATCTCACATTATCCCTGTTATCCTCCTCTCACACACAAGCCCTCTGTCACGATCTGAGGAGACAGACCATGTGGTGGTGTGTGTGGTGGACCCAGGTGCGAACACAAGAGAGTAGACCGGAGTAAACTTAAACTGAAAGCGAGCCTTTATTATGGCTGATGACAGGTTTCAAACAAAGCAGAAATACCGTGACTAAACTGAACTTAAACTAAACTGGAAGCAGATAAGCTATGAAGACTCAGAAAACCATGACGATGACTGTAAAGACTGGCTGTGAGCCCATGGAGGGTGGGAACACAGACGACGCGACACAGACTGCATGAAACACAGAGACTAAATACATATGAGGGATGATCAGGGGAAGTGGCCACACATGGGAGCACAGCTGACACACATGAACCTAAATACAGGACAGGAGAAGTGAAACTAAATACACTGACATTGAATACAGACTTTCAAACTAAAACAGCAAACATGGAGATTAGACATGACATGAACTAAACATAACCACGCAGACATGACGCATGACAGGTAGACGCATGAACCAGGGAGACTGAGTACAGGGTGATGACATAAACAACTAAGAAACAAAAGGCTAAACAGCACCCTAGAAATTAACTAAGCGAAAGCATAAATGAATACAAAAGATACATAAAACACTGGGTCACACGACCCAGGACCATGACACCCTCTGCATGTCCTCCTTCACTACACTATATGCATGAATCTGTGGTCTTCTTCTTTTCATTTTCACACATTTTTATGCTATTCAGGGTTCTCTCTGGCATCATGGATTATGGCCATGGCGTTCCTTCATTGCTCTCTCTAACCTTGCTTGATTTCGATTTAGACTACCTATCCCATGAAGTAAGATTCACAACCATAATGGTGAGAAAGAAATGCCAGAAAAAAAAGGAAAGTTCCAAGAATTTGGCTTGAGCCACCTGTGTATATTATATTATCACCATTTATATCTAGTCATGACCACCTTGTTATGTCGATCCTGATGTTTTGTGCCATATATGCATATTTTTTGCAACAAGCTATACAATAGGTTGTGATATATGATATCACAAGTAGCAAACATAGCTTATGCTGGTATTATTTGCAATGAGAAATATTATAACTGACTTTTAAAAAAAAATGTTTTAGTTAGTGAATAGATCGGAAATTCTTGGTGGAGTCTAAGTGAAATCTTGGTGGTGATACAAGTGCTGGTTGGCCACAACTCTGAATGCTGATAGATCTGTAGCAGCAGACTGAAAAACCATTGGCTGTTACCAAGAATTCCCAATGACTTTTGGGTGGTAGGGAGCACCACGGAGGCAATATATCACATAATATGGGGGAATTATGCAATTGCTGTTTTGTTTTAATTTTTATAAGCAATCAATCATTCATTTCATGGCTTTCTTAGCATTTAAATAAAACAGAGAGTGGTTTTGATGGTGTCACATGATTTATGACAGATCATTTATAACATCATGAAAAGCAGGAGACAGAAAAAAACGAGGCTCTCAAATTATGCGGTGCCAAACTAAAACTGAGTTTTGAAATGCAGCAGAAGTAAGCTGACAACACTGAAACTCTGAGAAAAACAACAACACTGAAACTTCTTTGGCCGATTTGAGTGCAGTACACATTCAGGAATACATAAAGAAGGATATTTGCTTATGCACTGATCAAATAACTGGTTGATGTATTAGTCCTTATGAACACAGACTAATTCAACATGTCTATGTAGACACGCATGACTGCTCTAGAGGAAAATCTTTGAGGAAATCATTTCACGTTTCAGAATGACCAGTCTAGATTACAGAGTACACGCTACAAATCACAAAGGTATTAGTAATAATGACTTTGGCATCAGTGAATTAATCCTCAAATGGTTTCAGTAGAATACTACTCTCGTACACGTGATGTGCGAGTACTGTATTTGATACTCATGCAAAGGGTGGAGAAAGCTGGGTGTTGTAGCTGCTTTGGGTGGATCCAGAAACTTTGTAATGTCAAGCACGTGTGTCACAGTCATAAACCGAGCCGCTGAATTAACCCTTGTGTACTGTTCATATTTCATGTCCTCGCAGTATGTTCAGGATCAAACTTGACTCAAGTCAATAATTTGCTGATATTAAGTTTTTATATCAAATTTTGAACTATAGAACTATTTAGAATATATAGCAAGCCTATCTGACATTAATAAACACAAGATTAATCTTTAATTAAAGCAGGGTTGCATGGCAAGAGTATTTTTTGGGATTAAATGTTAACAAATGAAATAAAAATATTCAATTTCATTGAAGAATCCTCATAACTGGCATCTAATTATCAGCATTAATGCAACATTAATAAGCACTTAGAACACAAAACCTGCTTAATGCATACTGGTGTGTGCTTTCAAAGCAGTGGCAGGAAACCTTGCATGTGTGGGACTTGAACATGTGTTGTCCACACCCAGTGAAGTGGCAGCTCAGATACCTTTATACTCCCTTTGTAAGATTTTCACTTCCTTTAAAACACTGCATCTCACAACATCCTGTCTTAGCTCCCCAGCATTTACGTGGAGTCTTGGCAAAGCACACCATTTCGTAACAGATGAGTTCAAACTAACAGAAAACTGCACTTTGGGAGTAAAATGCATGAGGTCATATGGCAATGACACCAAGACATCTTAGGAATTTCATTTGAAGCTAAAAAAAGAAAATGTCTTCCAGAGAAAGGTAACATTTATGCTTTCTCGTCACTGCACAACTCTGCAAAAGCAAAAGTACAATCTAAAAACAGCAGTTATGAATAATCTTATCAGGATACTGTGGGGGATGTTTCATCAGTAATGATTAAACCAGCTGAATAACTGGAAATATGATACGTTTGTTACACATAGGCTTGTTTAGACTTTTAATTCTGGGAACACACAGAAGCCTAAGTACGACAGCAGTTAGCGTTTACTTTTTTATCTTGGGAATAACATCACATGGGGTTTTACTGTGTCTGTTTTGTATTTGCTGGTAAAGCGTTAAAGCCTTAAAGTCTTCATTATGTCCACGCCCATGACTCCCACTGTCTTCCTGACATTTTTCTCACCTTTCCTGTTACAGACCCATATACCCTGCTTTCAAAAAGCTCCTTTAATAACAATCTAACTATTAAAGTATATCCAGATGGACATACTTTAAAAAAACGTAGGTCCATCGTTTTTGTCTCTTCACTTTTATCAGCAGTTTATAAAGATTGTGAGCGTTTTGCTGTGGGAACCACAGCCTCTCCCACACCAGGGTTCATTCGGCTCAAATTCCTGTGGTGTGCAGAGAGGAGCTCAAGTGTGCTCCTCCTACAGAGTAGAGCTAAAGGAGAGAGGAGGACGTAGGGGTCAATTTTCTGTGTAGACCTGGGACAAGTCTTGACAAAAGGCAGACAGACCAGTATTTCTGCAAATAAGTGTACCTGCAGCATGCGCTAGTGTTATACGACTATTGTTTTTGCGTTATATGCATGGATTTATACAAATAGTGCTTAAAGCTTTAATTACATGTATTTTAGCTCTTATGCTCCTGCTAAAACTCTTTAATTGGAAATAAAAGAGCGGTTTAATGTCTTCCAGTAAAAGAGTAATGTTTCCCCCTGCTGGCGGGAAAAACGCGAATATCAGCAGCTTTGAGGGAGTTGGCTTTCTCAGCAGACACCAGCGAGCACAGCCCAAAGGTACTTCGCTTGTTTGAAATTTCACTTGGGTGTGTCAGCAAAGGTGTGTCCGCTGACTCACCCAACAGCGACAGATAGAGCCGTCTGAGAAACGCCTGCCTTTTCGCATTAACAGAGAAGTGAAGCAACAGTAGACGACGAAACTCTCGAGTAGACTAGACGCATTTGTTTTCTATTACTCTCTGAAACACTAACCGGACTCTCCCCACTTGGACCCAGGACAAAGTCAGCCTTTTACTGTTTTTTTCTTCCAAAGATGGGGAGAGTTTTAATTTCCACCATCTGCCTAATGCTGGTAAGTGCTTCTAGTTTGGTTTTAAAGCACTCCTACATCACCAATACGCTTTGCTGTCTGTTACTTCTGTCAATGCTGTTTGCTATAGCAACATTTAAACGCGACAAGCCCGTTTGAAACTCACTTTCACCTTCAGATCCTGTCCTGTGTGGAGTCGTGCTCTCTCCCGAGGTCTCTCTACGTAATTGTACCTGAAACAATTCCACCTGAATACCAAGTAGCAAAAGGTGCTGCTCTGCTTACTTTTTTTTCATTCCGTCTGTGTGAAAAAGTGTTGTAGGCCGACTGTTTTGTGTTTTATGGCTCTTTTTAACTTTCCCTTTCTCGGTTTTCAGTTGAAACCGTCGGCTGTGATGCCAAATCAACGTTGTTAACTGTGAAGGACCCGAGTTTTACAATAAACAGTAATGGAGCAGTGGTAGCTTTAACGTCTGTCTCAGTGGCAGAAAGAGGACGGACATTTTTTGTGTGCGCTCAGGACAATAGTGGACCGGAAAGTAAGATGAAAGTTCACCTTGTCCGCAGTACAATGCTGAAAAAACATGTAAGACAACTGCATATTGTGAGCCGTTTATACAGCTCAGAAAGCACGATGTGTTTTTTCCTAACATATCCTGACTTGTTGGAATGTCACAGCAAGGAGGCCAAGGATTCCTGATTCGGTCTAAAAGACGCTGGGCACCTGCGAACCTCACCGTAGTGGAGAATTATGCAGGACCCTATCCAAAACTAGTCGAAAGGGTAAATTAAATGTATAATTCATATCATTTATAAGCACTGTGCTATTCAAATGTTTATTTTCAGCACACATTGTTCTCTTTTCTCACTTCCCCCCTCAAATTATCTGATTATTTCAGGAGTCACGCCTGTTAATTAAATTCAGTGATTATTTCCTTTGATGTTCTTTTTTAAGTTACATTACCAGCATGTCAGATTGGAAACTG